CGGGGTCATCTGTGCACCTGAAGTCTTCGTCGTGAGTGTCAAAGACACCACAGAATTCGTCTTGCTTGCCACTGATGGTATTTGGGACGGCTTGCGCGACCAGACCGCCATCATCACAGCCCGCAAAGTGCTGCGGGAGACACGATCCCCAGAAGCCGCTGCCAAAGCAGTGCTGGAAGCTGCGGCCAATGTCACAAAAGCCGATAATTCGGCCGTCATTGTAGTGTCACTAAACATCCCCGAGCCTCTGCCAAAGCGCGAGCGGCGCCTCAAGCTTGCTTCCAAGACGGACTGAGCCTGGGGACTGTGCATGTGCATGTTCTGTCGAAGTCTCGCAGGTGCATGCCTGCTATTTCCGGAGACATCGGCACAGCCATGTTGTGAGAGCGCGTTTGAAGGCGTTCGAGGATAAAGACGTCTGCCAGCTCGGGAGCCGCATTGGGGCTGGGAATCCCGCGAGCAAGAATAGATCTTCTCAAGATACAGACGTGGTACCTTGTTGTGACTCGCTGATTCGCCGAAGTTTGCCAAAGGATTATAAGCACAAGGTGTTAAACAAGGAGGGCTTGAACATGCGGTTCTAGACCCAACGCAGACTATCTTTTCAACAAGCGAACGGCGGCCAAGAGATCTACCAAACCAACAGATCGAAGTTCTGCATGTCAAGATACGAGAGGCCAGCAACTGGCACCTCCAGCCAGAGGCGAAGACTTCCGGGGCTGCAGTGGGATTCCTGGGAGTATGAGGGACCTTGTGGGGGGAGGTGGAAGATTCGGGCAGTTCCAAGCAGCACCAGACGTTCGCCCGTTGCATCTGAAGTTCGGTAGATTTCATGCTTTGCAAATGTATACAGCTGTATGTAATGTCAGTATGTATGTAACTATGTGGCTATGTAGTTATGTGGGTATGTATGTACATAGATGCATGCGTGTATGTAGGTTCCTTCTTCGCGGCCGCCAGAGCTACCGGTTTGGTCGGCGGTTCTGGGTGGGGTCCCTCTGACCCGAAGCCGCGAGGTCTGGGATGCTGCCGATGGCTCCTTCAAGTTGCGGCCGCTCTGCCTGTGGCCGGGGCCCCGAAAAGCAGAGGAGGACATGACGTGTCCTTCTTTCTTCCAGCCTGCTCTGGCCAAAGAAAATTCAGGATGCCGCCTGCACTGCATCGAGCTGCCTGCAGGGTCTCCTGGCTTTGGCCGAGGTACGACTCAGCACACATCTGTCGCCTGGATCACTACAGGGACTTCGTCGGCGCCTGACGGAGAACAGTCCCAACCATGCCGGTGGAATGCCTGACCAGCTTTGCAACAGCGGCTCTGCCCCCGACCCCACCGTTAAGTGCATCAGGTGTTTCGCAAGGGCCGTGACTGGAGCGGAAGTCTCAGAAGACACTCACAGATTGCTTCCTGCTTCGGGAGTTCGGTCGTGTTCCGCTTGTGAGTCTGGTCTAACTTTCCTGAAGCCCCCCATGAATATCACTGAGAATCCAGGCGGCGGGTTTCCGGAAGATTCCTTCGGCCAGGACCATTGAGCACTTTCGCGTGACTTCGATTGAAAGAAAAAATCCTGCAGGACATGCAGCAGGAACTGCGTGGGCCGCCTAGCACTCTTCGTATTCTCGTAGTATGCGCTTGTGACTGTAGCTCAGCATCGTCATCGTTGGTGTCCATGTTGAGGTTCCGCGGCTGCAGAGGGGCGCTGGAAAGAGGCACCCACTCACGTCGTTCATGAGTGGTTTGTTCAGTTGTTTTCGGCTCTGCACCTGTTTGGTACAGCAATATTCCATATCGGATAGACTATGGATTCGTGCATAGAGCACGTGTTAGGTAGCTTCTGGGACATCAGATGCCCACACGAACAAGAGAGGCGGAGACAGACCGACCGGGACAGCAATAAGCGGTGACAAAGAGCATGACGCCACGAAAGGGCCCTGCACACTGCATCCAGCCCGAGTGTACGCGGCAGAAGGGAGTCCTTCAAAGCTCGGGAAAACTGACGTGTGATCCGATTGTGAATGCCAAGAGAGAAGGTCATGGTCATGCAGTGTGGAAAAGAAGGTGCACGATACCTTCGGCACATACTTGTACGATGACGGCTTGGAGCTCGGTGGACAGATACAGATTGCTGTCGACGTTGCTCTAGCGGGCTCTCACGGAAGTTGCATGGTGCGGCTTGGCATGAGCAGTGGCGGTGGTCTGAGTAGTAGCAGATGGGTCGGGTCAAAGTTGAGCCTTTCCCGGCGCAACGAAGCTTGAGAAAGATCTCATGTTCCCAGCTGCATCTGGTTTCTTTCAAGTGGGTAGTTGTCAAAATTATGGTCCCTTTTGGGGTACCCTAAAGGCCCTAAACAATAGGTGCCGTATTATAATAAGGACCCAAAAAGGGACCATAATTTTGACAACCACCCAAGTGCTGGCCGAAGGCCCCAGTTTTATCTCGTAGTCTCGAGGCGGTGGTCCTGTGGTTGGACATCTGAACGGTCGCAGGCGATGGATGCTGAGAGTGGGGAGTGCGTGCCGTTCAAAGGTTTCACGTGCTTGTAGCTTGCTTTCGTTTTGGGTTTCTTGTGAGAGCCTTAAAAGTTGTTACCGTGGCAGTTTTGACTTCAAGTTCGGGGTCGCGTCATCGCGGACCAAGAAGTGGAGTCCCTCTCTCTCTGACTGTCTCTCTCTCTCTCTGCCTATCTATCTATCTATCTATCTATCTATCTATCTATCTATGTAACAAACCTGTCTACCTATCTACCTATTCACCTATCTATCTATCTGTCCCTCCATCTCTCCATGTCTCGATCTCTCTATCTCCAATGTATCTGTCTGTCTGTCCGTCCGCACGCGCAGAGACACGTCACTCTTCCCGCAGGTTTCGCTTGGACGAGCCCGGCACCTCGTTGAGACGGAAGTTCGCGACGACTTCGGAGGTATCTTGGATGCCCTGGTTGGCAGATCGGCTTGTCTGGCTTCGAAAGGGCAGCAGAGACGAGGCTTCAGAGACTCGGAAAACCACAGCCTTCTACACGGTAGTTTTTGAGGTTGCGCTCGGATGTTCGGCAGAAGCTGTCGAGTGTCCTTAATCGGATGTGGGAAGGGGGTAGAGCCTTTGTTCCAGGCACCGGTGTTCGTGGGGGATTTGCTCGTCCCCAAGTCGTATGCTGAGGTCAAATAACCCGATTTCAGCGGCACAGATCCACAAAGGCCGCATGCGGCTCGGCTGTGCCCCTGCAGCTCGGAATCGACTTGGACCATGGTTGCCACTGCGGGCACCACTGACGGCCAAGTTGCCTGTGATGCCTCTGAGCCTTGCGGCCCGGGCTTCTCCCTCCCCGGCGACAGCCGCTCCGCCAAGGCGTTGAGCATGGAGTAGCAGGACTTGGACATGTTCTCTGTTCTTTTCCCGTCCGTCTGTGCCGCAGTGTCTGGCAGTGTGAATCTTTCAGACCGAGCGGCTTGTCGAAGCCACGGAACATGGCACCCTCTGCGCCCGCACTTCCGAGCTAGCCATTCGGATTCCAAAACAGTGCGGGGCGCGAATTTGTGGTTTTGCAGTGGAGGAGACTTAACTTGCGATTGAGATGCCCGGACACGTTGAACTGCCTGTCTGCTCGCAGCCTGCGGCCGAAGTTGAGGGCGGGTCCCACTCTGATGGTTTGACGCCGAACTTCCGCACAATACCTTTTTCGGGCAACTGTTACATGTCGTGACTTAGGCCGAGGCTTGCTGAGTAGTCTCTCCAAGTGACCATGGCCTTTGCTTTTTGGCACTTGCCCCTACCCATTGCTGCCTTAGAGGCCGGCATTGGTTGAAAGAAACTTCGCATAATCATGATGAGCATGCTGAAGTCTTGATGTTTGTTTGCCACTCCTCTTCGAGATTGTGGTGTGCGGTGTGCAGTTGCTTTTGCAACTCTCATTCGGGGACAGCGTGAGACAGTGAAAGTGTGACTCCAGGCTCCGCAGCGTGCACCATGCCGCACCGAAGTCGACTTCTGGCGGCTGCCCCTGTGCCTTGAGCAGAATGGAATGGCATGGCATCATCTGGTCAGATTTACTCCCCACCCGCAGATGTTCCAACGTCTCCACCAACATTTCGCTCAAGGGCTCCCGGCATCCTAGGTGCCCTTTCCTGGCACCCCAAGCAAGACTGTGATCTTCCCGCGACATACGGACATACAGAGAACCGCGAGCATGGGCTTGGGATGTGTGCTGCCTAGTCATAGTCGCGGTATCGCAGCGACTGCCCTTCTTCCTAATTCTCGGCGGATTTTGGCCTGCCAGGCCGCCGCTTGATCTGGATGACATCCTCCTGGTTTCGCCCAGAAAGGATGCCGAGGCATCAGGGAGGGCACGAAGACAAAGGGCGACTTAGGCAAACTGTTGAGCTCAGACGAGTACACCAGGAGATTGATCAGATACCGGAGCGCACACTTCTTTCTATCTGTCCATCCGCCTGTGGATGGGTCTGTCTAGCTATTTGTTAATCTGTCTATCTCTCTCTCTCTCTCTCACGCTCTCTCTCTCTCTCTCTCGCTCCCTGTCTGTCGATCTGTCTACTTGTCAATCTGTCTATCTCTGTATCTCTGTCTCTCTGCCTCTCTGTATATCTGTCTATCTGTCTATCTGTCTGTCTCTCTATCTATCTATCTATCTATCTATCTACCTATCTACCTATCTTCTACCTAACTACCTATCTACCTATCTACCTATCTACCTATCTACCTATCTACCTATCTACCTACCTACCTACCTACCTACCTACCTACCTACCTACCTACCTACCTACCTTTCTATCTATCTATCTATCTAT